ATCCTGAAATTTCTTTCATGTAAAAATATAATTTAGATATTATTTATCTTCCACTAGTGAAAAAATGAATAGTCTTTATTTTCATGTCCACATTTACTTTCAGATACTACAAGAAATTCACTATTCCTGATTTGGACAGATTCCAACTGCCTTTGGACAGCACTGCTTTGACTTTTACTCATGCCAACAATACATTGATCATCACAGTAAGTTCTCATAAAGCTAATCTGACACCATTAGCATATTATTGTTTTCAGTCCTCTTTTGCTATGCTGCCTTTACAGGTAGTCTTCAACTTAAAACCATTCAGTTAATGACTTCTCAAAATTACAATGGCACTGAAAGAAGTGATTTATGACTGGGTTTCACATTTGCAACCGTTACAGCATCCCCAGGGTCATGTGATCAAAATTCAGGGGCTTGACAACTGATATGTATTTATGGCAACTGCACTGTCCCAAGGTCATGTGATCACCACTTGTAACCTTCCCAGCTGGCTTCCAACAAGCAAAGTCAAAGGGGGAAGCCTGATTCACTTAACAACTGCAGTGATTCGCTTAACAACTGTGGCAAAAAAGGTCACAAAATGGGGCACAACTCACTTAACAATTGACTCGCTTAGCAGTGGAAATTTTGGGTTCCATTCAGTACTACCTGAATAAAACTTGAGTAAATACACAAGAAGAACAATGGCCTTTGGATGCAAATTAAGAATCAAAGCTATCCCAGTTAGGCTTATGACAACAAAAAAATCATGCTGCTATTTCTGCTTCAAAAGATAACTCTAAATATTTTTCTTTCTAACCTGAAACAATTGTTGTTTTTTCAATGATATTCAGTATAGAAATACCTTCTTCAATGAACAGGGAGGTATGGGATCAAAAAATACAATGATACAGATTTTAAAATTTGAACTAAAATGTGCATTAAAAGGAATATGTTTGAGATAATACAGCCTTATGTTCTAGGTATTATATCTTAAATGGCTGAAAAATGAATCTGAGAGCATGACATTCCAATCATTTTTATTTTGATTTTATTTTTTCATTTTTGCAAATGAGGCACTTCATTAATAGCATTTCTGTTTGCGCTAACAGAGATTCAGGCTATTTTCTTTCCTATAGTATCAAAAGCCAACAGAAATACTGGCTGCAGAAGAGGAGCTGCAAAAAGAGCTAAAGAAGATCAAAGCTGCTAATAATGGGGAAGGAGACTGCAAGACACAGTAGTCGACAGTTGTGAAATGCATTGTCTGTACTTTTATTAAATAAATGTGCTGAACGGGGATCATTCATTCCATTTATACCCTACCACAATTCTACAGAACTCTTGGTGGATTACAAACATTAAAAACTGCAATTGAATAGTATCTAAAAACCTAAACTGGAAAATGCAAAAATCCAAAAAGGGCCTCTTAAGGGGTGGGCAATATATCACAATCTCTTTATGGCTCCCAGCAGCACCTATTCTGATAAGAAGGCATTGGCAATCTTCCAGACCCAGGGAATAAGGCCCACCCACCCGTAACTATCCTCAGTATGCCCATGTGGTACCCATGCTTTCCAAGATGCATTGGTTACCAATTTGTTTCTAGGTGCAATTCAATTTGCTTGTTACTGGAGGGACTGTGATGTCAACCCAGCTGATTCAGTCTGGCAAAGGTAATGTACTACATGTTCCTTTGATCAACCAATGGAAACCTTCAGTAACCATATTGGAACTTCATGATCATGTCTTTCTCTGTAATGGTGCATTCCAGAATGTGGTTCCTCTTTAGATCCAGAGGGCTCTCATCCTGATGGCATTCTGGCAGGCCTTAATGACTTGGCTGTGCTCCCAGGCTTTGGGCTAGGGCAGGGATGTCAAACTGCTGGCCCGCAGGCCGGATGCATCATAGCAAAACCGTATCCACCCCAGTGCTGGCAATGGCAAAAAAGTTGTGATACATCACGACACGTCCCGTGACATTGCGAGTTTGACACCCCTGGACTAGAGTGATTGGATCCCCTTACTAAGTGTATGATACATATTGTTGACCAGAGGTGCTATCTTCTTTATTGCTATGTCTCTTTTTACATTATATATTTGCTGTATTGTTTTATCCTTGAGCAGCCCTGAATCAATTGGAGTCTACATTGATTAAAATAAATATCTAAAGCAGCTGTGAGGGACAGAGATCCAGACCATAGGTAACAGGGCATCCTAGAGAGCACATAAAAAGTTCCAGTTAACCTGGCAAGACATTCCAATCAAAACTCTAAACAATACCAAAGCACTGGTGCAGGCTCAAATCTGAGCACATAATTGTGCTCAATTTCATTCTTCATACTCCTCCACTTACTCTCTGGGCACTGCTGTCTCAACTCCCACTGACAATCCAAAACCCATCAGCCACCAAGGATAGGCCCAACATTCAGCAGCTGCTTAGAAGCAGTTTCACTGAGGGCTCATGAGGGCTTGTTGCCTACGTTGAGAGCAGCGAACCAGGCACTCGGTAGACTCACACGTCACATCTTTGGGAAAAATCAAGTGCCCACCAGAAACTACTCAGATCCAAAAGTGCCTGGGGTGGATCCTCTGAATGGGCATCACCTTGGAAGTCATGGATAGTCATCAATTTATGCTAGACCAGGAAGTATTTAACCATGACAAAGGAGTAATAATAATACTGTCCATATCCAGATCTAAAGTGGTCTGAAGCAAAAACTAGGTGCAGTCTGAGGGCAAGCCCATGTTATCATGAGATGGTCAGCTTGGTATCCGCCATATTACCCTTGGCGCAGCATTGCCAGGATATAGCAGTTACACTCCCATTCCACACAGAGTGCTCACCTCATGTAAGATCTGGTATGAACCCAACTCCCAAACTTAAACTTCACCTGTTAACGAATTTATCCATGGAGTCAGCAGCCTGGCAAACCACTAGGCCAAATCCCTAATCACTTAGATCACTTAAAATTAGTGACCACTTTCTTTAAAACAAGATTGCTGATTCCAATTGTGGTTTGCTAAATGAGGACTATCTATAATCTAGTATATCAATAAGAGGGGAGGTAAACATAGTACACAGACTTTCTTCCACTAATGCTAGGTACTACCTCCTTATTTCTGTGATCCTTCCCCTTACTGGGAATCAGTATTTCTTCATTCCTCTTGGCTCTCACCTGAGGGACTGCCCGGTTCTAGTTACTGGAGAACAAATCACACATACACAACAGCAGCAGCATATCACCAAAACATTGGTAGCATAGGAGTCCCCCAGGAAACTACACTCACCATCTTAGGCCTAGCAAAACTGCACTACTATTAGGTGTGGTGCCAAGACTCCTTGCCCAACTGCCAGCAATCTGAATGCATCACATTCTGCTCTCTACCAGCTGGCCATTCTTAATGGTTGCTTTGGGTAAATAATCAGAGACTAAAATCCCCACCTTCTGCCAGTTCACTGAAGCCCTTCAATCTGGCCACTTAATGGAGAAGGGCCTTCCTGGAAGTTTCAAATCTAGTCCTATCAAAGTAGTTTCCTTCCAGTATGGTACCACTATCCTCCCTGTTGTAGTAAGACTGGGAGATCAAGAATAATAGTTCTGTTCCATTTCTGTCACTGTCAACACTGCCATACATGGAAATCCCTAAGTCAATCTCAGTATTACCTCCTAATATCTGCTTTTAAGGTCTGTTTGCACAATTACATAACCCCTTTTTATACCATGGTACGTGACTTGTCTTACATTTTTATTACTTATACTGAGGCCCTACTAAGTTTATCTGTTACACCATACCAGAATTTGAATCATAGATAGTGATGACCATATCCAACTATTTTGTTTTAAAATAGATTTTCATGATATTGTCCTTGTTTCCCAATCCCTCATGTATGGAAGAATATTCAGAGTTTAGAATCCAGTTTGTTCATCTCTCACTCTACTAAAAACAATTTCCCTTTTGCCTCAATTACACTGATTTATGTATCAGACATTAATGAAATAAATGTTTGTGTTTCAGACACTGCTTTTTCATTCAATTCTACAAAAAGAACACATTTCCGTCTTACATTGTATTAAATTGTTTAACAATTTAATCATTGCAATTAGAATAAAAAGGTGAGGCATTCTTGTTGGCTGTTTTGGCCAGCCAATACCTATTCTATTCACATATTTTCATACTGGTTTCTTATTTTTAATGTCTGCAAACTTTTGAGTCCCCTAATAATTTCTTATTTGATGATATTCCTACCTTAAACAGGGTATCTTATTTAAACTCATATGTTCAAGAAGGGGAGTGCATTGTTCAGAAACACTGTAGTGTTTAGAGAACACTGTCTTTAGAGTATTAGTATTCAGGGTATTTCATTTATAAATACAGATGTTTGATGAGAGTGATAATAGAGGCCGGAATACCGCCCCATGTTTTTGCATCTTCTCTCAGAATTATGCATGGTTAGATGTTTTTTCAAGTATTAAAAAAAATCCTCCTTTATCGTCACAATTGTAGTAATTTTTCAGGAATATTTATCCTCACCTTGCCGTGTACGACTTAGATAAGTTAAGTAAATCATGGTACTGAATAAAAGTCAAATGTGACTATTCAGTTATTTTTTGCAATCAAAGATACTTTTTGTGTGCTACTTTAATAATTTATTCAATACCAGGCCTGTCAGCATTGATCCAATAAAGCAGTTCTTATATGGTGTGAAACAATAATATTTATACTTGATTTAATTTACAGAGAGCCAACCAAGTTTTCAATCTTATGGCCCAATATTTATTCATGAAAAAAACTGGATGTCAGTAAAGCAGAGATAAAATATTTTCTTCTACTTCACTGTCCAGATGCAGTTCCTTCCTCTTTAATTAAATTACCATAATGAAATATATGAACATGCAACATTCAGAAGCCCAAACTATGCTGGTACCAAAGAATATGCACACACTAAGACTTACTGAATTTTGCCTTTCTAGGCATAAGAAAAGTAACCAAAATCAAAAGTGTACAAAATATTGGGTTGGAAAGATACATTAGATTTTACTAACACCAGAAGACAGAAATGGGATGTTCTTTAGCAACTGCTGTTTTATTGTCTTAAAGTTGTTATTTTTCTTTGTGCTCCCTGAGTCTGAAGTCCAAGCATATCAGTGTCAGGAGGTAGTGAAATCAAGGACATACAGTGCCGATGCCAGTGTCGCATAGAGATGAGTGGTGCTGAAACGTAGACAGTATACAGGACTGCTGATAGGGGATGACAAGGAGAAACTCTGCAAAGTAGTAAGAAAAGTACTTCTAGATAAGTTATTTTAAAATTAAAATTTTAACAAGGTCAGTGACAAAATGACAATCATGTAGCATCTTCACAATTCAATTTTGCAAACCTGCATCTATTGCAAATTTGTAATTCTTTTCTAGTGCAAAGAAGTATTAGAACTGGGCTAAGGCAACATATCTTTCTATATATATATAAAAATAAAAATGTAAATGTTTGTTTGTTCAAAATCTTAAATCTCCGAAAGTTCTTCACCGATTGCTTTGAAATTTTGACACAACGTTGCATTCGAATACGCACGTGTTTTTATATACCTATATTATATAGATGTCACACCTGTGACAGGTAAAAACATGCTTTTTTTAAAAAAAACAGCACCATCTGTTGGACGTAAAAGCAACACAAACGTGCGCTTTCTCTTTTTTTTCTTTTCCATTTAACCAGACTGAGCCACAGCAACGCGTGGCCGGGTACAGCTAGTATCTGTGTGTGTGTGTGTGTGTGTGTGTATTCCATTTCCTGAACGAAATTAGCTCAAAGCAACAGCAATCATAACTATAACTATCTTCAGTAATTATTTCTGGAGCTACACTGAATAAGAATACACTGTTCATAGGCCTGATACTATTAGTTCAGCAACTGTCCAAAGTTATGATGGTGCTGAACAGTTGTGGCTATGACTGGTTCTCAGAATTCTAGGCATCCTAGCACCCCCGCAGTCATTTGATCTTGATTTGGGCACTTGGCAACTGGCTCACATGACTGGCTGCAGTACCTGCAATCACAGAAACACCATTTGCAACCTTTTCTGCTGGCTTCTCTAGAAAGTTAGTGGGGAACCTGGCATGGAAAATTGCAAGATGCTGGAGTTAAGTCTCTCCCACCCATGCATCCAGTCCTTTTGGGCTTGTGCTACATTCCTTCCCTAAGCCTCAACACATCTCCCTTGCAGCCTCAAGCATCCCTGCAGACCCCCCCCTCGTGTAGTCTCCCTAGGCCTTACCATGCCTCCCTTGCACCCTCACCTTCTTCAGACCCTCACATACTCTCCACTCAAGCCTTGCTACACCCCTCACACCATTGTGCATCCTTGCCAAGACTCACCTGCCTGCCTGACAGCCTGCTTGCGAGCCACCTCTAGCTTCCAACTTCTTGCCAACTTCATCACTGCCTTGGTTGTGGGAAGCCAGCAGGAAGTTTCCTCACTTAACGACCATGGGATTCAGTTGACAGCTGACACTGCAGGGATTGCCATTGCTAATCAATGGAATTGAAGTTTATGACTCCATTTTTTAGCAATGGAAATTCCAATCCCAGTTGCCACTGCAAGTCAAGTCTACTTGTTATTATCCCAATGCCACATTCATGAGTTTCATTATTCATGCCAGTGAATGTTTAACTCACATCTTCTCTGCCCAAATCTACCATTCTATCAATCATGTTTATTTGAAAAGCATTAGGAATAAGCAAAAGAACACACTGTCCCACTTAGTCACTGTAAGGCAATTTAAATATAGTTCTCTTTATAATCAACTTTTGGGAACATTGTGATGATGCCTCACCTGCAAGCATCTTGTTTGTCGTTTGTCCCAAAGACGTACCACTCCATAATAAGAGGAGCCACTTGCAATCATATGACTTCCATTGCTTCTAATGCAATATAGGGCACTGTCATGTGGTTCTTCCCATTTCTTCACACATTCCCTGGGAAGTTGATGGTAAACAAAATACTGTGAGATAATGTTAGAATATTTTTCACTAAATACTATTTGTCAGTTCTTGTGACAAGGGCCAGTTTGCAGTGGTTAAGGCATCAGGCTAGAAACAGGGAGCTGAATTCTAGTCTCACCTTAATCACAAAGCAGTTGGGTAACTTATCCCTAGGAAGGGGGCAATGGGAAAACACTTTCAAAAATATCACTTAGAAAACTGCAGAGGCTTGACCCAGGCAGTTACCAGGAGTCTATTTTGTCTTGAAAGTAACAAACAAACAAACAAACAAATTCTTGTGACTAGTGTGGATTGTTAACAAATCATCTTGAAACACTATCAAATAAGTATTTCCCCCCCAAAAAAATTTTTAAAGCAAGATTCCAAACTAACTTTGTGCTTGTTCTTAAATCCCAGTATCTTATGTAGGTATCATATCCACAAGAGAGCAAAGTTGAAGGTGTTTCATAGAAAACATCCAAGACTCCAGCTCCTCTGTGGAAATCTGTTCCAAGACAGGTGATCAGCTGCCCACTGAGGAGAGAAACAAAAATTAAACTCCAGTGCTTACTAACTATGTATCATGGATATTACCCGAGGTATTTATCTTCACATAGATTTTCAGTAACAATAAAGAAGTGGAGTAAGGCCAAATAAGTGCAGATTAGGGAAAAAATCATTAGTTGTACAAAAGTGTATCAGATTAAACAAGTATTAGCCACTTTCAGTTTAAAATTATAAAAGCCATTACTCAGTTCTGTTTCTAGCACTATTCAGGCTTTAAGCATCTTTTATGAAGAGCAAGCACAAGTACTATTTATACAGCTACATTGATTTATTAAATTTAGAAAATACAGTAGACAGAGAATTAAGGGAAAGTATTATTTATTGTAACTGATAGTCCACGTGTGAGAAGTGCAATTCTTTTGGATATTTATATTATGTTCCAGGTTCTCTGCTGCCACATCTATCCATGACAATATGCTGCCTCTGGACCAGGGAAAACATTTATCCAGCGAATGGCATGCTGTACAGCAGAATCAGAAAATAATATTTACTAAGGATAATAATTTTCAACAAATAATGGCTCATTTTAAAAAATTCCCTGGTAGATTGAAGGAATATTTATTTGCTATATAAAATCTCACACATGCTGGAGATATCTAGATTCTCCAAGACTTCTATCTATTTTTATTTTTGTGTTAATAGTCCTAAGAACAAGGCATAAATGCAAACAACTGTCCCCTTTTATCTATCGATACCAACACAAATCGAATTACTATATATTATAACTGGAAGCCAACGATGATCTATATACTAAGAGTTTAAAACTGAAAAGAAATCTTATTTTAAAGGTCTATTTTCTTCAAACATTTCTCCTTCCCGTGCATTTTTTAAATATATGCACTCTGCTCAAAGACAGATATATAGTCTGTTCACTCTAAATATCCTATATTCTCAAAAAAAAAACCTTTTTCTTCAGCCCACTTTTTACATATAATATGGACAACAGAAATGACAGTATTTGCTGTTTTTTTCCTCCCAATTCCCCAAATTGGACATTCCTAAGGAAACTATGCAGACCCTTACAGTACTTGAATTTGAAGGATCTAAACAAGCTTCTCTCTCTTATAATCCTGCATGAGTATTGATTTTAGAATGGTTGCAGGAAATAACGCAGCTGAAATTGGAAGGAACAAAGTCACCAATAATATTAATTTCCTTCCATTGTCCTCCCGCGGTATATAATGGAAAAGATCATTGAGGATTGCCAATAATTCACTGAAAGGCTATTTTGGCACAAATAACCAATTTCACAATCACTGCTCAAGTTTGCAGAATTTTTTAGAGCTTTTTTCCCCCACACAGTGTTACAGGTAGTCCTTGAGTTAACAATAGCAATTGGGACCAGGATTGGCATTGCTAAACAATGCAATGTAAAATGCAATCACACAACCACATTACTTAGTGATAGCAATCCAGTCGGTCCTGGTTGTTGTGTGTGAGTCACTAAGTGGGAAGCAGCAGGAGTCCCGGGTAAAGAATGCAGGAGTGCCACAGGCAGATGGGGAGGCCTGGCACCGGCCACCTGTGAGTTGAGGGAGGAGATGCTGTTGTGTGGTGCAAGCACAGGGAGGTTAGGGAAGGGGGCACAGGTTAGGCAGGCCTGGGAAGGAAGGGGGAGGATGCATGAGAGCTAAGAAAGGCCTAAGGAGAACGTTAGTATAGAGAAGTCCAGGGAACAAAGGTGCCGGTTGATTTGTGCAGGTGAGCAAAGGTGTGTATGTGCAAGCAAAGAAAGGCTAGGAGGCAGGGAAGTCTTACCCAGTCGACTTGCGGACTTCTCTGCTGACTTCCCCATTGACTTTACTTGTGGGAAGCTGGCAGAGAACGTCACAAATGGCAGTGACTGAACCACGGGATGCAAGTGCGAAATGATTGCCAAGTGCCCAAATTTTGTTCATGTGACCACAAGGGCACAGCAATGGCCAGAACTCTGGGGACTAGTCATACGTTCCTTCGTTCAGCAACGCTGTAACTTCAAGTGGTCACTGAAAAAATGGTTGTAACTCAAGGATTACTTGTACAATTAAAAAAAAAAGCATAGTGTTAGTTGCAGAACCTGAAGATTTATTTAAAATGTTTAATCTTAATTTTATGATTGTCACAGATTGTAATACATGTAATCACAAGTCACAATTGCCAGTTCTTTAGCTAGTGTTCTTCCCTAGAACCTGGGATTATTATTATTATTTTAATCTGGAAAAGTCATACATAGGATACATTTTAGGTTTTACATGCCCCGGGACAAATCAAGAATGCAACACTATAAAAAGTTGAGGTAGACCAAAAGAATATGCAAAACAAAAGAATTGAAGGAACAGGATTTGGGATAAAGACAGCTGAGTAGGCTCCTTAAAAGGTCTGTCTGGCACAAGGTTCTCCGATTAATTAATGCATATTCCTAATTGAGAACCAACATGTCCCATCTGTCCTCCCCCTCCCCAAATCTCCTTTACAAGAGAAAGCCAGGCTGCCACAATTCTCACTAACATTCAGACAACGGCATCCAATGAAGCTCATTCAGCCACTAAAGACTCCCATGTTCCCAGCCCTTCTCCTCCTCCTCCCTAACAGTCTAATCAGAATTGGACACAAAGCACTGAACGCCTTTTCAGACTAGCGCACTGGCCCTCGGTTCATGGGACAATACAGCCTCCACTCCCTAAAGCAACTACTCCCCCCCCACCCCTAGTTATTTTGTTACTTTCTGCTCCTTGATCCCATATCAGTCTTTCTGGGGCACCCGAGCCAGAGGCCTAATTCCATCTGTAATCTGGGCTAAAGCTCCATGGGGGTGGGGGGTGGGGATAAAGACCACACAATAGGTGAAATAGAGTCCCAGGAGATGTTCAAACAAGTAAACACCGTTGTGTCAGAGGAGCAAAATTGCTGAGAAAGCAGATTAGTACCAGCAGCACTGGTATCCCCCAGATCAGAAGGTGACCCTACCCGTTCACTAGAGCCAACACGCTTCTGTGATCACAGTACCGACAACATGCTGGGACCAGTCCATCTCCCCCAGTCACTCTCCAAAGAGCAGATTACAGAGAATAACAATTTCTTTGTGGCTGTGTAATTCCCTCCGTGACCGTGACTATGGGCCACTCCATTGGACCTCAATGCCAGGGCCTTAGCAACCATTTAGCAAGACCAGTCGGCCCTAGCAATGCTCCCCCCAAAGCAAACCTCTCGGACAAGCTTTAACATCAAGTATAGGAATTAATCCTCATCTCTTTCCCCCATTCTGAAACCTGAATCCAGGGGTGCTGTGTTATTACTTTGTATTTCTCAAGGCAGGAATCGCTGGACAAGCTGTTAAGATATTAACTCTTGGAGGGAAGAAGTATAGCCAGTTTGCTTTACAAACCTATGTCAAGAAGTAATGACATCTATAGTTCAAAAAGGAAGTAAGTAGAATTCCATCATCTTAGGGGGAAAAAAGAGGACCCAAAGAAGAAAATTTTACAAATCGGTTAGAAACTGCAAAACTGAGGTTTGATAGGCTTGATACTAGGCACCATGCCCAGTAATCATGGCCAGGTATACAGCCTCACAGAGCCATCCATGTTAGTGCAGCCTGGATTCCTTCCTCTGCCTAATGCTAGAAATGCTGAGCCTTGCTTTCCTTTATTCCCTTAAAATGGGGAACAACTAATAGGGGTGCTTCTTTACCTATAGGGCAAAAGCATCTTGATGAACTGAAAACATTTTTCTATCTGTTTAAATAAACCCAAGTGAGTCAATCAGATGGGAAATGTGGTAGTGAAAGTTATCAGATATGTTCTCCAGATTTTAGCTGCAAAATCTGGAAATATTTCACTTTGTAAAAAAAGAAAAAAGTCTAAAATCCCATGCATATGATTGTTCATAAAGCAGACAGATGCCCCTTTGTCTAGTATGAGGAACATGTGACCCTCTGTATGTTGGATTCCTAAGCCCATTAGCCTTAGCCAATTGCACCTATAGTTAGAGATGATGAGAACTATAGTTCATCTCAGGAGGGCAACAGGTTTCCTTTAATTTCTTTAATTTCTCTTTAATTTCATTTGGCACTGTTCCTCAGTTGGATATGCTTAAAGAATATCACTCTTTACTTTTTCAGTATTCAACAGAATGGATATAAAGAAAAAATAAAATAGAAAATAGAATAAAATAGGAATTACTTTTTATTTTAGTTACCAAGAGGTTTAAAAGCAAGAATTGGTATAATAGACGATCCACAAATGCAGAAATGTGGGCTGCTTCTGTAAATTGTACTATATAGGATACTGATTTTGAATTCTTGTTTTGCCTGGTTTATTCTAGTATGAGAGAAATAGCTAAACACTTTTAACATTTAGGATTAATATCACTATCATCACAATTTTTGACATTACACTAATCAACATTAGAAGCAAGATGCAGAGGATTCATAATAGTGCTAAATAAATAACTGCCCCTTCTCATTCACCCAATTTTGTTAGAGTTCCAGACATTATCCTCCATTAATAACCTCCTTATTTTTACTGTTTATTCTTTTTTCTTTCAAAGAAAAAGAAGGGGGGGGGGAACAGCATTTTTAAAATCCTCTGATTGACAGCCTCAGAAAGTCTCTTTCATTCTCAGACAAGACAGGCAGATGCTGACTGAGGTTCATCTGACATGATAGAGGCCATGCCTCTGATACAGGGATGGCATTTCAGTTTGGAAGCATAACATTGGTATGTTCTACATCTCCATTTATGAGATCCCATTACTGTGAGGCCTATACTGTAACTATGTCCACAGGAACTTGCTTTATCCTGGCAAGAGATATTCAGCATTTACAAGTGCTCATTTTCTCTTTTGTCCCAGACTTGGCTTCCCATCAGCACCTCACCTATATTCCAGACCACAAAAGAATAAAATTTAAAGCTGATGGCAGATGGAAACAGTTTAACTTTAAGAGTTAATCCTGAGACCTCTCATTTATATATAAAAAATATTTCAGA